ATTACGTAACCGGCGTTTGGATAATGGCATTTCCTGTGTGCCCAGATCAGATTCTGTTCTCTTTGAATTTTGGCGATTCAATTGAATCACCCGGTCAAGGTTGGCTTTTAATTGCGTTTCGGGTGCTCCCGAAATTTATTCGTCTGTGCCAACCGACGATCATTAAACGATCCATACATGTATCATATGTATCTCACAATTGGATATAAACATTTCAATCGTTTCTGTTTTTTTTTTCTCTCTCATTTTACTCGTCGAAAACTATTTTTCCAACGTGGCAGATGGTCCACGTTTCGTAAAGCAAATGAATGCATTTTTATATATAGATTTTATGGAATCACCTGTTTTCTTTCAAACTTATCCCAAATTGAATCATTTGGTTTTGATTGGATGTGTTAAATTTGTTGTATTCTCCTCAAAAGAGTTATTTTCGTGTTCAGTTTAAAGTGTTATTTGTTAACAGTTTGTTATTCAACATCAAAGGATTTTTATCACCCGTTCACGAGAAACGTCACTTAACTAATGTAAGTAAATATAAAATATTCGCTGAACTGTCAATTATATATTTGACATATTTCTCATTGATTTTGACGTTTCTCAAATAACAGTTTGACATCTATCAAATTGCAATTAAAAACTAATTCCATTTCTCAATTTTTAAAAGATAATCATTATCCATGAAAATTGTTGCTTAACTCTTATAAGAAAACGTCTATATCCATTTTTGTTTGAAAAAAACTACTGTCAATTGTATAATTGACATATTCGATTTGACATTTTTCTCTTCAATTAATACAGGATATTTATCACCCATTCAATTATTAACTCTTATAAGAAAAATATTCAATAGATCCATCTCACTTTATTAACTGTCATATAAATATTTGACATATTGGTTATTGATTATGACGTTTCTCAAAATATAATTTGACAGGTGTCATTTTTTAAAAACGTGACCTATTAAAAACTTTTTAACATCTTTTATCAATGAAAATTAACAAATAATATTTTAAACTTTAAACAGGTATTTTTGTTTGTTTCAAAACGTAATTGAAATCGTTGTTTTATTGTGATTTTGACAAATATGTAGTCCATTGCACAACAGTTGCTCTTCGCGTTTCACAATAAAGTAATGCAAACTGGCAACAAATAGACATACGTAATTGGCAGCTGTCAAAACGTGATATCCACAAGGAAATCGGAGAAGACAGGTCATTAACCAATAGTTAAATCAACTGTGGATTTGTTTCAATTTCATCTTCATCGTGTCAAAATTACTGTTAAATTAGAAATAACAAAATAATATATTTACAAATAATTTTAGAAAGAACAAAATCATGTCTACAAAATATAGGTTGGTTACAATACAAATAATTAAATAATGAATTAACAAATGTAGGAAGGTTATGCAACCAATCATTCTTACATGCTGTTGGAATTGTATGTAAGATTTTATTACATATAATTGTGCGGTGTTTAGAAAATAGTTTTTCTTTTATTTATTGAATCGTATAAGTAGATAAGATAATATTGAAATTATATAAAATAAATATATTACTAGGGGATTATTAACATGTGTCAAATAGAAGTCAATTGAATATTAATACATTATTGAGATATTAATATTATTAAAATCATATAAGAAAAAGCATATGTATTTTTTGTGCCAAGAGATGGCGTTACCATAAAATTTGTTTATTTCTATAATAAATATATTAAAATTTCGTCAATTACCAAATATATTTTATAAATTGATGTACTTTAAGATTAACAATTAATTTAAATAATTTTATCTAATTAATTAAAGCATACATTATTTTTTATTTAATTTTGTTTAAAAATATACATTTTAGGGGAAAATTATAAATTGTAAAGTTACTATACTAAAATGTACTGTATTATATAAGTAAATCTGAGACTTAGGTTCAAAGTGTTTCTGTCTGCCTTATTATATAAATGTCGTTGGTATTTTTAATATTTGTTGGCATATTTCCTCAGAGTGAAGCCAAATCGTATAAGTGGCGTTTTATTGTCAGGAACTAAACGAGCCGCAATCAGGTATAAATAGAACGCATCACTCATTTATTTGTATACATACAATTTATTGCTTTTTTCTCTGTTAATTTTTGGACTCGTTAAATGAAAGCAAGAAAGTGGAATCCTCTGCTAATCGTGCCACCATTTTTCATATATTTATATACAGAGTGTTTCGGTAAAAATAAATAATCTTTATTTTTTACTTTTCTTTGGTTTCAATCTATTTATTTTTATTTACTAATAAATTAACAAAAAAAATATAACAGAAAAATCTATGTAGTGTCAATTACTACAGTAGAATGTAAATCGACACTTATGTCATAAATGATATGAAGCATCAATTATGAATCGATCATAATAAGCTTTTTTGACAACTTATGTCAAAGATAACATAAATTATTAATCTTTCGTAGATGTCACTGTCATACATAATTCACTTCTGACATCCATTAAGTATAGATGTCTCATATGTGGTGTAGTTCCAATAACTAACTAATGGTTTCACAAAATGACTATATTTAACTAGATGAAACACTGTGTATATACGCAATGTTTATATTGTTTGTGATTTAGTTATGCTCTGGTTAGGGCAAGGTTGTGACCGTTCGGCCCGACTCGTCGCCAAAAGCGAAATTGGCACAACAATTAAAAATGCACGCTCAGTTGATACATCGCATCCTATTTTTACTAATTAGGTGTTGTTATTTATTCACATGTTAATGTTTCGTTGTTGTTTTTCATTGTTGTTGTTCTATCTATCTCATATTTCTAAATCAATCGCATAAATCACTTGTATTCTTCACCTTCACTTGTATTTATTCCATTAATATATTTAATTGCTACAGTTACATATCAAGTTTAATTATTTGACAACTTGCACAAGTATTTGTCGTTTGTATACCATCTTTCTAGGAAGATCAGTTTTGGAACTGCTTCGGATTGTTTTTGCCAACTGTCATTTTATATTTATATTTATTAGGTGTTAAACTACATCAATAGACGAATGATGAAAGATACTCAATTTTCCATCCTGGTAGTTGCCATTAAAAATTAACCTTGACATACATGTGAAAAGCAATATTGACATAAATGACAATTATAAAATTTAAGTTTACATAGTTTAATATAGAATGTTTAAAATAACAGAATGAATGTGGAATCAGATTTGCATGCCGAATTTTATTCAAATTTTCGTATCCGACCACAAAAGGGTTTTTCCTTCAATTCGATAATGCATTTCGGGCACGAAAGATCGCAATTAATTGTTTCGTGTGCGTTTTTCCTTCTTTCTTCCTCTCTCGCTTGTTTCATCGATTTTCTTTCTCCCTTTTTTCTTTCTACCGTTTCGTTTCTAGTACTATGAAATGAAATGAAAATCAACCAAAAAAACAGAACAAAAACATTCCAGCTGGAAACGCGAACACTATCGGTTTTTGGATGGAACAAAACGTTGTGTTTGATCTGATCACGCAATCTGTGGAAAACCACCCCCTCCTACCCCACACTCCAACCGGAAATAGATCGGCAACGTCAAAAGTTGGCCGCACGCGACCGGTGACGTAACGACACGCACGTTCCGTTCTTCAGGTTTCTTCGCGGTTTGATGCGAGAGTCACGTCCAGAGATTGAATTACCAGTTGGGCTTAATTGATTTCGAAGCAATTAACTTTCCGGCTTCGGTTTCGCTTTACTTCTAGCCCATCGACTCGAGCCATTTTAATTACTAACTGATTGCTAGAACTTATTTATATTTCCAGCAATTTCCACACACAAATTTTCCAGTAACCTTTATTACCCAATTTTCCAAAAATATCTTATTGAAACATCACAAAATTAGATTTGATAGAAACAACTTTGCAAAATGACAGCTGTCACCTTACGTCAAAGTGTCAACATTACAAAAAAAATATGTTTAGTCTCCTAGTAAAGGTTGAAAAACTTTGTTAAATAATATTAATTAACCATTTATATACAATTTGGTACTATTATGACGTTATCACCAAACAAACAAAGAAAACAATCCGTTTCCTTATACTAACTTTGAAATAGAAGACAAGTTGAAAAACAATAATTTGTCTGATTTTCAACATTTTTATAAGTTTAAAGTCAGTAAGACATAATACATAAAATTTATTGTTGAAACAATTTTTCAAAGAAAAAAGTAAATATTTTGATAAACCTATCAGTTTAAGGTTTAACTTATCGTTAAATTCATTGTTTCAACCTACATTATCAATAATCAGATAAGTGTTATAAATAGTATTTCATTGCAATACTATGTAATTAGCATTTAAACTTTTTTTTTTTCATTCTATAATTTTTTATTAGCTTCAGTATAAATTTTAATTTCAAAACAAATATATTAAGCTTTTAAGCTTTGTATAAGTATTAGTACTTAATATTAAAGATAACATTTCTAAATTGATGAACTTGTTTCAATTTGCATTGGATTGAATACACCGATCAAAAATATTGTCTAAAATAGGATTTCCGATTGATTTACTTTTGTAAATGTTGAAATAAATAAAGGAAGGATCGCGTGAAAATTCCAGCAAGCATTTACATTATAGTAGTTAATCTAATTTTAACCTGCTAATTCCAAGCTAACCAACGAACGAACGCTGCTCGACATTTCGTTTTGCAGAATCGCGTACTTTTCTTTCATGCCTCTCTCATTCCTTATTTATAAACGTATATTCGTATCATCTACTATTTCTTTTCGTATTATTATTTCTCTCTCTCCAATGCACGAGACAAGAACACGAATTTGTGTGGCTGCGCGCAATTACCAACAAAAAAATTCTATTTATAAATGCACTTTAAAGCAAGATTTTTTTCTAAATAAACTTGTAACCTTTTGAACTCGCAATACATGCAACGCCTGACGTAATATTCCCCATATTTGTAGTGCGTAACCAATAATACCAACTTAATGGAACTATTTCAGCAGAAGAAGGGGAAGGAGAAGGATAAGGATAAGAAGAAATAGGAAAGATTTGGTGAAGAAATGTAGATAGTTTTGGATGATTTAACAAAAAAATATATAGAAGTAAAACGGAGGTTACTAGCAGTGTAGCGGAGGTAAAAATGTTGGAACGAAGCTAGCCGAGCCACCGATAAGACCGAAAAACCTGAACGAAACTTGGCCTCCTTATCTGGATATCTCATTATTATCACAATATACAATTACATCGACATTTATTTATTACAAATCCAGTATTGCTAATGGAAAGTGCGTGGTGATAAGATTATGAGAAGCAGCGGATCTGGATCGAGTGAATTAAGCACGTAGAGAGCAACTATGAACAACGAGGATGAGAGGAATGTCGCGCTGAAAGCGTACAGAGATGGTCTCTTCAGCGCAGACGAAAAGGTAATTACCATCAAATTAAGCAACATTACAATACTCTTTTAGTTGTTTTTGATAATCTGCAAATTAAGTATTTAACCCATGCTTGCATGCATTTAGATGAAGGCTTGTACATTTAAAAAAAAAACATTTAATGCATACACACACACACACAAAAAATAAGTAACGCTGATAAGATTACAGCTTTCTAATTGTTGTTTACTCTATTTGGAAAGATTAAATTAGAGACGGCCGAGAAGTTATTGAACATCGCGGTTGCGGTGGGTGCTGAGTTAACCCAGACCGTTCTATTCGGTATCATCAAGGATGTTGTGCCGGAGCTATGCTTCTTTGATGAAGTGCAGCTCATGCTGCTCCAGAAGTTGGACGCTGTTGTGGAAACGTTGGGCGGATGGCAGTACGCCAAGGATCTTATGCCCGTTTACGAGCAGCTCGCTGGGTCCGAGGAGTTGGTCATCAGGACCATCATCACGGAATCCCTGGTCAATATCTGCGACCATTTATCCGATGAGGAAATCGATACAGATATCATCGGAATGATCGATAGGCTCGTACAGAAGAACTGGTTCACAGCAAAATGCACAGTCGCTGGTTTATTCACGGTAAAAACAAATACAATTTAATACTGTCAACTTCATTCAACATCAAACAAGTGTCACTTTGACATTGCTTATCAAAAGATCTGATATTTATAATACTGTCAATTTATTTCAATACCAAACAATTGTCACTTTGACATTGATTATCAAAAGATATGTTCAACAATTTATATACCTAAAATTAATGAAGTACTACAGGTACATTCAGAGCTTTGAAATATTTCAATAATTAGATAATTCTGAGTATTCAGTACATTTCTGAGGCATTCACCCCCAAATTCAGTGGTTTTACCGCATTTTTGCTAGCTTCTTCTAATCATTAACATAGAGAATAACCTATAATTCCTCTTGTTTCTAATATACCTTTCAAAATCATGACACTAAGCAACTATCTCATATGACTATCAAAAATACCAACTATTTTGTAATAATTTAAGATGCCATAAAACTTCTAAAATTAGATTAAATTTTCTTAGTTTGTAATCATTACTATTTACACCGTTTTCAATTGAAAAACATAGAAGTTGCGTCCACACTGTAAGGAATTGAAGAATTTTTTCATGAAATCAATAGTAGTTGGTATAACATTTATGAGGTAATGCACTTTTGAAATTCAATAATTAAGTGTAATCTTCTTTACAGTTGTGTTATCAAAGAGGCAACGCGGAAACAAAGATTTATATTCGTAAGAAAGCACTGGAATTTTGCGAGGAAGATAATCCGCTTCTGAGGAAGACGTACGCTGTATGCCTAAATGGATTAGTACGAGACTTTGAAAATGACCACTTAGTGAACGACGTCATACCTCTGTACTTAAGATGGAACGAACACGATCAAGTAATTGAAACCACATATAAAGTCGTCAACTCGCTACTTGCCAAGTAACTTGTTCGACTTACCGAAGCCAAGTATTAATGCAATATGTATTTTACAGGAACAAATCAGAATATCGTCTATTGATTTAGCACTTTCCTTGGCGTATACTCTTAAAGAAGAACAGGTGGAAGCACATCTAATCTCGGCTTTACAAAGATCAGCAAGTGAGTTTTGATCAAATTTATTTTAATTTCAATGTTTTCTTAATGTTGGATTGTTGCAGCTGATGCTTCGTGGAGAGTGCGAAAGGAAATGGCTGCTAAATTGCTAGACATTCAAAAGGCTTTAAATCCGAAACACGCTACGGTTTACGTGCAGATGGCCAAACTGTTAGCGATGGACTCGGAATTCAGTACGAGGGAGACGATGAGCCAGGACATAATTGAATTTTGCTTGAACCTGAAACGACTCAAGTGCGAAGGATACAAAGAAATAATTATTAACGATATGATCGATGTGATACGCAAGATGTCGCAGGACACGTTCGAGGAGGTGAGATGTGACCTGGCGGAAACGCTGATGAACCTGGAGGTCATCTTCGATAAGGATGAGATGCGGAAACATCTGCTGCCCATTATTTTAACGACGTTGAACATGGAGCCGAAGAAGGTGCTGGATACGTACGTGGGGAATTTGAACAAAATCATGTCGTACATCGGGTACGATAACTTGGGTGATGACTTGGAGAGGATCATGTTTGATCTTTTGGCTTCGTCTGCGTCGCGTTGGAGAGCGCGACGTTTGCTGATCGTTACAATCAGGATCATAGCCAAGCATTCCGATAAAGAGTACTTCGCTAAAACCATCATTCCGTATTACCACAAGCTTCTCGGCGACACAGTTTTTAGCATAAGGAGAACGTCTCCTTACATTTTACCATTATTTATCCATAAATTCGGGATGGCCTGGACGAAGCAGTACGTTCTGCACAAGGTGTTTTATGGAAGAAGGCACGCCAACTACCTCTACAGGATGGTTGTGCTCTTCTGCATCGACGAGCTGCTACATCCCAGTATCAAACAACACCTCATCGATTTGGATGATAAGCCTGAATTCCTTATCAAGATGAGCTACCTTAGCGAGCTGTTGGACTACAAGTTGAACGAGGAATGGGTCACCAATGTCTGCACAGATAGCGCCTACGACTTTCCGGAGGATGCTATGGCCTACACAGATAACCTTTTGAAGTCTCTGGAAGAACAGGAGACCGGAGAAGATGAGAAGCAACCTCCGGATCAACATTACATGATATCGTTGTACTGTTTACTTTTGAAATACGTGCTGGCTATTCTGAAGGAGATGAGCGAGGATGCAGTGCCTAACGTCAGATCGCGCTGCGTCAGGACTCTGGAGAATCTGCTGTACATCAATCACAGTGTTAGCAAGAAACTGGAGGACTGCAAGGAGATCCTGGACAAGGTCACGGACGAGGAGAAGATGTCTTGGAGGGCGGAGATTGACGAGGAGAGGGCGACGGTAGATGAGTACATGAGAGAGGAGGTAAGGCAACTGGACAGAGGCAAGTCTTTCGACAAGCCCAGGTTAAGTAAGGAGTTTAGTTATAAAGAGGGGACGCGGATAGACGACATGGACGTGCAGAGCGAAGGAGTTTTAATTGACGCGGACGATTTCTTCGTGTTCTACGAGAACAACGAGAACAGCGAGAACGGAGAGGACTTGGAGAATATCGTTGGAGATTTGGACGAGAACTTCCACGTTGAGGGCATCACGCCAATTGATGACAACAAAAACGAAGATTCCGTAGATTTATGAAGCTAATTAATTAATTAATAAATTATTATTTATTGCCACTACACTGTATCATCTCCTTTTTTACAATTTCACCTCTAATTTAATCATATTTTGAACCAACCTCAAATTCGATCAAAACTTAAAGCAACCAGTGAAGAGAAATAAAAATACAAGATATTTATATACAATATCCAAAAATACATTTTTTTTTATTCACGATCGAAATAGAATCAGTCTGACACACTTACCTAAATTCTATATTAAATTAAAAAAAATAATGAAAAATAAAGATAATTAATAAGAGTCTGCGCTGGAGGCAAGGTCAAAGGTTCTCCGAAGAAACTGATCTCGATAATTTTCTAATAATACGATTGCGTCGAGAATCAGCAATTCCGTTTGTCCATTACATTAGAATTCTATAAATAAACGGCGCAGACGGTTCTCGTTCCTAGACGAATTCTTTCAAACGATCTCACTTATTTTAAGTACACGCGCTCTCCGAATTGATTTCATTCTAATCGGGAATTCCCCCTTCAATAATCTACACTATTTCTTTATATAAAGCGTGCATTTGGGGCGCCGCTAATTGACTGAATTGGTGTGGATGAAACCACGTCGAAGGTTCGTCCACCTTCATAAACATTCTCCATAGCAACCAATTTAATGACACGCAAATCAATAGTTTTCTAGGTACATAGGTTGTCATGGAGAATGTTGGTGGATGCAGTTCGTAAATTTATAATTAGAGACGCAATCATTTGCGTTACAAATGTATAAGGAAATTTTTAAATATTTCACTTTAAATGTTTTTTTGTTCTATAAATTTCGGATTAGCTAATCCATTAAAAATACTATATAAATACAAGTTCTTGGTAAGTTTCGCTTACCAAGCAAGACTTTAAATCTGTTGTCGTTATTTTATTTTAACTAACTTCATTTCCTTTATTCACACTAGTGATTTTAGCAATCTTACCTTGTAAATGAAGAATGGCCATCTGATATTCAGCCAGCTTTTCATCGATGTAATCCTGAGATTGATTTGCGATGATCTCTGCAGTGGTAGGTCCTGAATGATCTTCCTCGTCGACCTCGTAGTTCTGCGGTAATGGTGGTGGTTCAATGGGCATTCCGATGAACTCGTAGTCGCGATTCGGAGGTCCGTACTCCTGGGGCATTGGTATGAACGGGGACGCGCGATCCGGGGAATACGGGGAGATTCCCCGGTAGTAATCAGAAACGGGGGATGAGCAACGCATCGGTGCGGGGGAGGGCTGAAAAACAAATTTACAAAAAAAAACATGAAAATTAGATCAAATTACCTTTCATTTTGTTTCTCTGACCGCGTGACGCGACAGTCTACATGTCAAATACAAATTAAGAAATGATGTTGTCGATCAAACTCTTCACTCTGTTCATAGTCATTTACGCATCGAGCGGATCTCATTGTAAGTAGTTTTATGGAGGTAAGCGAATTGATAAAGATTAATTTTTGTAGCATCTGAAGATGATGATGCAGAAGATGCAGTTGTTCTCATTGGGGAAGGTGTTAGGAATCAGAAATGTTCCAATCACGAGCACAACATCATCAATTTCATTGTTATCCTTGCCGATCCTGATGTGTCCATAGACGAGGAGACACCAATGAAGTTTTGCGAACATTACTTCAAATTGAAGAAAACGATATTGGTAAGTTCTAATACATCTATAACTTCATAACTTCAAATATATGATGTTGGCATTAACAAGATCTAACCATAAATACTACTTTACGTAGTAAAGAAAATATTGATAATAGTGATAAAAAACCAAATTACTTTTTCAAACTTTTTGAACATGTATACTAAAATATTTATAGAATATATTATTTATCATATTATAATATACAGCCTTGCACCGATAAATACCTGCAAGCTATGCCAAGAGAAATAATGAAATACGTCAGAACTCGAAACATTCCATGCGACTGCGAGAAAATTTTAACTGGTAGTTTGATGTCACTCCTACAGTGGGCAGAAACGTCCAAAGGCATGAGCACAGGTAAACAAATTGTTGCACAATAATAGCTTTCGAATAAATATAAGATGTGTTTCAGCATCGGTAAAAATAAACGCCGTCAGCAATAGGGGAGAAGTCAGTCAACACGAAAAAGCACAGTACAAGAAGAGTAAGTTTCCGAAAAAGCGAAGCCATCAAATCAGGAAACGGGATCTACGATCCGACCTTGAAGCCCTTCCCAAGTTCGAGTTCAAACCGATCTTCAGGAGGGATTCAGCTAACATCAAGGAACCATTTGATGAACCCTCTTACGAAAATCCGGTGGTACCTAAATTTAGTGCGACCATGAGGAAGTCCTCCACAAACTTCTGCAAGGATCTTGAGAAAATGTTATATAAACCGAAAAGAGCACAGAAACATTTGCAAGAATCCTTCGATAATCTTGATCAAGAATATCCTAAATCTATTCAATTGAAGCATGAAACCGAAGATCAGCAACCACCGGCTGATTCGTTCCAAGTGATGACCATTGACAGTGACAAAGATTCGAAGAAGTCGGATGATATGAGCAACGGGGAAAGCACTTTCGTCAAAAATTCCGTAACCATGGATTCCAAGAAGATACAAAATATGGATGAAGATGTTAACTTGGATAGCAGAAATGACGTTTTCCAACCGAAAGGTGAACGAAAGGAAGATTTCATAGTCCTTCCGTTTACGGGAGATACTCCTATAGGAAATGAGGATGAACAACCACAGCTGAAGAAGGTCGATTCTCATCATCCACCCTTGTACGAAGTCTACCATCCGAAGGCTAAACGCAGATACAATAACATCAACCCTTATAGTAATTCCGATATGAAAAAATCCGAATCCTTCGTGCAACTCAGGGATGTGCCGAAGGATTCGGATGAAAGTCAGGATGTGCAATCCACGGCAAGCGAAGCAATCAAAACTATATCCAAGATGAAAGGCGTATCTTCGCATCACAATAGTCATAAGGCAGATTCTTCACGCACGAAAGAAGTTTCCAGCCCACGCATGGATGGTGATTCTTTGCAGAGTACAGATCAGTACGAAGGCACGACTACCGAAGCCGAAATGTCGGAGATCACCGAAGACACTTCTGAGAATAGTACCACCAGTGAAGAGGAAGCTTGCAATGATGATAACGAATCTACGACTGTGAAATCGACCGATGCTGAAGTACCCGATGAACCCAATAGGATGGAAGATAATCTACCTGAGCAGTCGCCACCTGCTGAAAATATTTGGGAGCTACTGAATCTGATGAACTCTATTAAATCTTCGTTCATGACCGGTTTCTTCAATTCAATTTGGGGTGATATTTTTTTGTCATTTATTTTGATGATTTGTGTGTATTATTGTATTACTGTTGCAGGTGGTATGAATGCGAATAATATTGGTGAAGGACCAACAATGGAATCGATGGTCGGCTCAATGCTTGATCATCTGAATAAGCTCAGTGAGTTGCACGGGTACATTGCGATTATTCATGGTGGAAGGATGTCGGATTTGAATAATGTTACTTCTGATTTGGTGAAAACTCTGATCAACATTAAGCAGAACGCAGGACAAAATACGGTTGTCGTCTTGACAGGCTCGTGTCCGTCGAAGGAGAAGGTCAAGAAATGTGAGGATGATATCAAGCTTCCATTGTTCGTAGCAGGTATGTTTTATCAGAATTACGATTTATTTTACCAATTGGCTTAAGCTTAGTAAACGTTTTTTGAGAAACAAACATTTTTAGCTCAAATCTAGTCAAGAATATATTTCTATAATATCTTTGATAAATGTTCCAAATGTGCTTTGTAGAACTAAATATTATCATAAGATGTTTAATTTGATATATTTTATAGGGCCACATGCAAGTAAATTCAAAAATTGCAATGAGCTGTACGACATCTCGCAAAACATCAAATGCGTTCTGGAGAAGCACGTGAATCACGCTCGAAGCATGGATTCGTTCCCAGTAGAAAGCGACAGGTCTTTGGCGGAAGCTCTAGTGGAACCAAGGGAATACTACGACCTTCTGGAAGAGCATTCCCAAAAACGGAAGAGATCTGCCGTCAATGTAAATACGGAAATCATTAAAAATAATTGCGAGAGAACGATGCTGACGCGTTTGGTTATCTCGTTCATTTGTTTCCTAATATTTCGGTCTGCATTTTAGAAGCAAAGGTACCAACCCCCAAAAAAAAAATGCAAAGCAAAATCCAATAAACAGTGTGAACGTTAACAGCTTTTGTTATATAAGATTGTGGTATACTTTCTTTCGTTTGTTAATTGTGTTGTTGCTTGGTGTTATCTTTTGTAGCTTACCGGGTGCATCGGGAGCCTGAAGGGCCGCGGTCCGTAGGGTGGCGGTGTGGCGCCGTGTGGTAATGGGGATGAGCTTCTGGGACCCGGTGAGGGCCATCTGGGCCTTGGGCAGGGCATGTGAGGGAGGCGAGCGCCGAACATGTTCATGCCCGGACTGCCGAGCCTCGGGGGCGGCGACGGGGCGTAAGGGGATGGCGGACGGAAATGCAACGGAGACCATCCGGGACCTCCGCGACCTCCACCTCCACCACCTGGTCCTGACATCTTGTTTTAATTCTTCTTGACACTTTACACTCGCGAAACCAGCTCAAAAGCCATCTGAAACAACAACAAAAATACAGCAATTAATATATTGATAATTAACTAATTATACTAAGTAGGTATCATTATAATAGCAAATCCACTGTATTGTAATGTATCACTCAACATAATCATTTCCAATTAAAAGTTTACTTCCTTAATGATATCAACCTATAACAAATATTGATCACCATAGAAAAATTTGTGAATTGACAAAAAAATTCAATTATTTCATACAACAATAAGTATTAATTAAATTAGTTCACCAAATATACAAAAAAACTTTGAATTTAAAGTTAATTTTATCTTAATTTTGTATTTTTATAATTTTATTAAAAAAACGTCACTAAAGTGTCACTGTCACTAAAGTGTTACTGTCATCACTGTCATTAGGCCACATCTTAATATTATTGGCTAGTATCGTATCGTATATAAGTATCCACTTCAAGTTGGTGCACTTGCCAAAACTATCAAAAGTTGTCAAATTCAGAAAATCCTAATGTTAATTGTAGTGTAGAAGTACCTAAAACATAAGATTTCGACTGACCATATTTCATTCATCTCAATCTAATAAACACATCACAATAAAAAATTAATGATCTATCTTATTAGTTTTATTTTTTAGAGATGCCAATTCCGTTTATTCCTCCCTAAATAGGATGATGCCAATTCCATCTCTCTCTCTTTAAAATGCAGTTGACGCATACTAAACGTGTTGGCACCTTACCTATCCCAACATTCCGAAAACGCGAGATTTCCATCTCTATCTTTTTCTTTTCTCAACTTTTTGGAAGTCGTTTCCATAATATGTACACAGTCGCATTATTTTTAGATGTGCAAGTATCCTGTGCATGCACATGCAACTCGACGCTCTTTCGCAATTCCGCTTTGGCTCGACACTCAGAGAACTCTTAGTTTCATTTGCGACCAGAAATAAATCGGCCGACAAATAAAATAAATTTGGAAAAAAAATGAAATAAATAAGAAAACACAAACGAAAACTTCGAATTAATCATAACATTTCGAAGGTAAATAATTAAAAGAATTTGTTATTTTTGGACGTTCCATTTGGGTCAATAAACCTTGCTTTGACAGAAGCGAGAATAAAAATAATATTTAAATTGGAAAGATGCGAACGTGAACAAATTGATGAAAAAAAAACTGAGTAAAATTAATATTCGCTTAACGTCGAGATGCACTTTCACGAATCAATTAAACGCACGTTCATTAATCGCAAAATTAATTCCATTCATTTAAAGCAATTAACAAGAAGCGATGAAAACATATTGGTTTTTAAATGTTAATAAAAATTCTTAGAAGGCTCTCACTTTCCAAGATGAGTTTCAATTTATGCTAAGTCTTTATTTTATTCTTATTCATTCAGATATGTGAAGTAAGATTCTAGTGCTTTCGTCATGTATCACAATAACATAATTTAATAGTTACATCACAAATTTGATTTTTTTCTTTGAATATGAGATACCTAATTCTTCTCATATTATATGTTTTTAATTCAAGTACAGTTCGAATACTCGAATACTATCAATTAAACATATTGCTTAACTTTATTTTGACATATTAAACGTCAAATGTCAAAACATATTTCTTATCCTCTCACTAAGTGGTCCTATATATTTAAGTTTTGTTTGACAGCTTTAACGTCAAATGTCAAAAAGATGCCATCTTTTATTTTTAAATGGAATTATTTGGCACGAAAGTAATAAATTAATTAAATGTTTAATATTATCATTATTAATTATTAAAAAAAAGTAAACAATTTTAAATTAATTAATTAACAATCAACGCCGTGTTAAATATAATAACGAATGCATTTCTTGTTTTAGATTTCTTTCAAATACCTTTCGTATAATTGGAATATAATTATCCACTTAGCGACAGACAAATAAATGTATTAAGCGAAAATAAAGTAGAGCTTCTCTTTTTTTTTGTTGATTTGGTGCTAATTGGATTTAGGAAACGGACGTCTCGGGCGTCTTAAATTTTTACGTCGGCGGCGTCGTGGCACGGGCGTCGCGACGTGCGCCTCTGGCAGACCGCGGACTGCGTGTAATGATGAATAGAAACTTCTATTTCCAGAATCACACTTAAAAATAGCCACGACCGGCCTTATTATAGTACTACAGCGCGCACTCAGGGCCAATCGAAAAACGCTTTGTTTCCTTTTAAAAAAAATATATAACCTTACGTAACTGTTTAATATTTGATTCAGTTTTCTTATTTCCTTTACTGATTGTAAATTAAAATAATTATAAATTTCTAATTTTAAATGCTACATCATTATGTCAGGTGTACCAACTACTAAGAATATACAGTGTGTACTTCTAACTGTCAGTTAAGTTCGGACTACATGATAACCAATGATAAGTTGGTACACATAATTGATATTAGGTTACATGTCATTGTGTATAGAAAATTTAAATCGCTTATGTTTGTTTGATGTTTCAGACCAAAATTGTATTCGTTACCATTTCAATTGTTATAATAATAATTGATTTATATCAAATGCATCAACTGCTATGAACTTATAGAATCATAGCATCATTTGAGCTTTCAATTTAGTTTCATGATAACTGACAAACAAAAGTAGTTGGTACATGTGACAAATACATGACATATGTCATTATAAGTGTGGATGCAGAATTTAAATATAAATTAATATTCTCAAATGTCTAACGACCAAAATGGAAAAAAATAAAATTACAAGCTATTTGAAATACGAAAATCTAATACATAATAATTGTGTTTTAATTTATATAATGACCGGGACAGCGCGTACGCAGTCCCGACTACCAAAAATTTCGCGCCCGAGTTATCCACATTAGGGATAATCGCAAGGGTCCCTGGGGGAACTGCCTTATTGATCACAGTAAACCCCTACGCCAGGTAAGTATGCTTTTTTCGGCAAAATTCAGACCATCTGTACCCAACCTACATACAATTGATTTACAGAGAACTAAGAAAAGGGACATCTATGAACAGCAAAGAAAACCATCCCTTATCTATTCAAATACTAATTACTAATCTATTACTAATTGATAAGAAATGTACATAAATTATATTTGATAAATATGACTGTAAACTTTAATTATACCAATTTTCTTCAACATTTCTTAAATTTGTTACTTCCATGACTCAAATACATTAATTCGATCTATCTTTAAGTACAAAATGTGTAAACACACTGCAAGTGAATCACAGCCATAAACACCAAAATTCTGCATGACTAAAGTGGTTATAATAAAAATCGTATTTTTGGGATAAATCATGATAAATAAAAGAGTTAATCCATGGAGTACAACCAAAATTTACAATACAATTTTTTTTTTTGGAATTGCAGAAATAGAAGCAAATTGTTTATAAAAACGTGTCCAGTTCGTGGAAATATTTTCACAGCGAGTTTTATTTAAATCACGGCCGTCCGACTGTGCGAGCAGCAGTCAAGTATATAGTATACGGGTTCCTTGAACTGAAGAACCTCACTCATCCTTTCCTACTTTGCTCTTTGCGTGCGTTGAATCCGTCCTTCCACCAAGTGCATCATAGCGCAGACTGGGAATGCGTGCAGTTTTAAAATAATCCATAGACGTGAAACCCTGGATGATGATGATACGAGACATGCCTATAGTTACATAACCGAAACAAAAAAAAAGGAAGGACTATTAAAATCACTTCCAATTCTGTACCCATTATTTTTTTTTTCTTCATCGATGTTTCTTTTTCTGTTCGGATATTACGTAAATATTTACACAGCTTCTTTCGTCTTTCCATGTATTTCCAGCCAAATTGTTTTTTTTTTCTCGCTTAGTATTCTTATTTGAAATATTAAATGTATGAGATACTACTACTAGCCTTTTTGCTCAGAATAACAATCTAAATTTACGAAACTTTTCTAATTTAATGCACCTATCGCATCGTAAATTTTCTAGCCAGGTTTCAAAGTTAATTTCCAAAGTTTAATTAATCCCAGGATTATAATAAATGAACATTAATAATAGGTAACTTTATGTTGCAAATATCCACCTAGTAGCAATTGACATCTATCACTGAACTGTCAGTTCTGTTTCAATGTCAAACCATAACCATGTTGGTACATCTGACACATATAATCTGTCAGTTTTGTTTAACTATCAAAATACTGACACTTCTGTCATACGAGAATTGTATAATCTTTTTTTTAGTTATAAAAAAATCACAAAATATTTTATATAATCATATTCTCAATACCAGTCTTGCCCAACTTTCTACTATAAATAAATTCTTTTCATAAAAATATTTGTTATAAAAATATTAAAAAATTATTTGTAATTAATTATAATAAGCATTTCACTTATGTATAAAATTTGAATGAGAGAAAGGAACAAAAATAATTCAATTATAATTTTTTCTTTAAACAAAAATTTGTTTTATAATTACGCATACTTTCATTCATATATGTAATTAATTCAAAAATGCAATATGCGAATTAATAAATTATGAAATTACACTGAAATATTACTGAAATTAAATTCGCTGTACGATTTCACATTCTGTAATAAACAGAGGTAATTCGTGAATTTCGTTTAATTGCGTTCCTTTGATGTTTTGCCAAAGCTGCTGTGGTTTTCATGTAACCAATAATGGTTCTATCAATTTTGAATT